CCTCATGACACTTTACAGAAAACCTTTGCAAAATGAATAGCTTTAATTATGAAATCATTGATATTCCCACTAAACTTCAGGGACAATGTCAAAGAAAAGCTACTATAATTGCTAATGCTGAGCAGTTTTATGACCAAACTATACTTCACAGATGTCACTGCAGTAGTCATCACTTTCTTCTGCACTTTTGCCCTCCCTTGTCACCATGGTTCTTTTTCTCAAGGAAGGATTGTCAGACATGGCTTTTTCTGTTCTTGTGTAATTACTCTGTTTTCTGTTCCAATTCAACCTTAAAGTTACCCTCTTCAGCAGGGACCATCTAAAGTTTATACCTCTGACTCTGTAGAGTGGGTACCTCTGACTATTGCCTCTCCTTAAGAATAATTATAAATCTGGTTAGAATTGTGAAGCACAAGAAGTATGTTAAGAACTCGATGCATTTTTTAATCCAGTTTTTATTTTTAGAAGGCTTTACTGTGCAGTTGTAGACCTGAGACCAGCCGGAGCTTCAGACTACTTGTCTGAGCACTCTCTCAGGTGTTAGGCACTGGAGTAGGTGCCTTGTTAAGCAGCCCAATCCAGTGTGCTTACCAACATCAGCTTTTGGGGTGCCTGCTTGCCACAGTGGCAGGGCTTCTGTGTGAGCTTATTCTCAGTTTGGTCCTGGCTGAAGCTGTGGAGCTCAGAGAATGCCCCAAAAGTGACTTCCAAGTCACCTACCCCTGAGGCACAGGGGAAGCAGCAACAGGACTGCTGCTTTGGCTATGGACATCGAAGTTCTTCAAAGTTCTGTTAAGATTAAATTAGGCATATTAATTGTTTTTCAATCTGGATCTTTGTTCTTTTGTTTTTATGTATACCAATAAGTGATGAGCAACCACACACTTTTGGGTTTTCTGCTTCTCTTACCTTTTGGGAAGATAAACTTTTTCCCCTGTAAATTTCAAGGGATCCTTCTTTTCTTACTATTTCTGGTATTTCCTCTTTGATTGTTAACATCCCTGTTCCTGGTATATTGACTTGAACACATTGGAATTTTCCAATTCCACACAATTGGAATTGGAAATTCTGATTTACACATCTGAATCTATGAAGTAACATGGAATAATAGGTTTAATAAAATGCTTATAAACTAGCAAGTAAAAGTACTCTGTATCTGTGCATTAAATGAAGATAGTTTGGCTGTTCTACTTTTCAGTGTTTTCCCAAGATGCAAAAAGATATTAGCCTCACCATCTCAGAGAAACCCATTTTCTTTCACTTTTATCTGTTAAATTGATATGTATGTTTAGCTTTTGTTCACAAGAAAATGCAAATCAGACTCCCCAAAATTTATCAAGATTTTAATATTTTCTTGATTAAAAACAGTTCAGCTTGTTCTTTTTTTTAGTACAGAAATTGCTATCTGAAGCAGTAACTTGCTCTCTTTGAGGCTACTCAAATGTAAAAGCAGAGTTAGCAGTGCCTGGCAGGTACGAGTTATATGGAGATGCTGACAGACTTATTTATAGTGTGGTCAGGAACTACAATAACACATTATACTCAGTGAAGATACTCTAAGTAATAGCAGTAGTTGAAAGCTTTATAGAGCTTTTTTTAATACCACCTGTATTTAGGTGACTGATCTTTGGTCATAGCCAGCGTAGTGTATGAGTGATTATCTTCCTAGTCTGTTCTACTTCAAAGGCATAGGTTGCTCTTATCTTGTTCCCTGCCTTAATCACTTCGCTGACAAGCACAACTGACCAGTTAATAGTACTTTAATTCTTCTTATCTCATCTGTTATCTGCAATGCTCTTCCATGTTGTAATTACTTTTCAATTTTTCGTGACTCAGAATGGAAGATATACATAATGAATGCAACTAGCAAATTGATTAAATGTAACATGCATTGTAGCACTAGCTAGATTGTCATTTGTTATGAATGAGAGAGATTTGTCAGCTTCTAGTGCAAAGGCTCATGGTGCACAGCAATCTAGACCCAAGAGCTGCCAGGCCTCAGCCACCCTTCCGCTTTTGATTTGTCTGGCAAAACAAATAGGAAGGTCAACATGATCTTCGAGATAATGTTACGTGATTCACTGGTTTGGTACCACCTTAACATTTTTGAGCTTAATTTCAAAGCATGTAAGTAAGATTGACTGGGAATGTATCAATAAATGGCGTTTCATTTTAAGGCAATGAATAAACCATCTTGTAATAGCCAAAACACCAATTTTTGTAAGGATGAAACTGAGAGAGGTCTTTGCCTGACCTGCTGTAGCCGTTAGCTCAAGAATCTGTGAGTTTGTGCAAAAAATGCAAGAAATGTGGTTCTGATTCAACCAGACACACACATATGTATCTTTTGCATCCTTGCTGTGATGTGGAGCCATCAGGCAATTGACTATTCCAGTCTTGTTCAACTTCTCCTGATCAAGCTGTTTCATTTTACATAAATTAAGTATCCAGTGAATGCTGCTACTCCATATACTGGGGATTTTTTTGCTATTTTGGTAGGTAGGGAGAGTTTTGTATGGGAGAGTATTCTAACATTTGGCATGAATTTTATCTGAAATCTAAAATCTATTTGTGGAACAAGAAAAGTTTTCTTCATTGTATTGCAGAGAAACCGGCCTGTGAGTTCAGTAATAAATAGTAAGGAAAGTCTCTCAAATGAAAATTACAATGCAGGAAATTATTTCCTAACCTTGAGCCCTGAATATAAAAATCCAAAGAGCTGAATCCTTGTTGCTTACCTGCAGCACTCTGTTTCAGTGAGGATCAACGAGGTTTTTTTCCAGAATCAGTCTTGGTAATAGTTTAGTCCTTTGTTGATGTAAATTGCTTTAGCCAAACTCATTTCAAAAATATTTGAGATGGGAAGGCTGCCTTCTAGTCACTTTGGTTTGCCACAGAATGCATTCACTTGGCAATTACAAAAGGCACGTTTCCTTTAAAATTAGATATTACAGAATGAACACCAATATTATTGCCTTAAATAAATAAATAAAGATGAAGCTTTGTTATTTAATTCTTCAGATTTCTGCTTTCACAAGTGAAAACAAGGATTTTATGGGCATTACTTAAAACAAGATTTTTGATCATAAAGCCTTTCAAGAACAAAATAGAAATATTATGCAGTTGTTATACATCTCAAGGTGAGGAGAATCTTTGAAATTTAGTCTGAAATTATAGACTTTAATCTGCATAATTTATATGATGAGCATTCATGAAAAGGGCTACAACTGAAACCCACCCATCATCAAACGTAAAAGCATAGAAACAATGGCGAGGACTGTGGCGGGGAAATGGCATTAGGGATGTTATTTCCGAAACATTTTCTAAGGAGCAGTTTCTACCAGTTTCTGAGGAAATTAAGGGAAAGTGACAAAGCAACAATCATTTCCACCTAATGGTTCTTTTTTCTTTTCACTATCTGTGCTGTCTGCTCTCAGATCTCCCTCATTGTTCAGGTTTCAAAACATTTCCTGCCCTACCAGGCGAGCAAGAGGAGAGCGCTGCTCGGCCAAGGCAGCTCTGCAGGCGCAGCCGGGGGGCTGCTGCCAGGGGCTGCTGCCCAGCAGCCACCGTGAGCATGTTAATTAAGGAGAGGAAGTTTTGCTGGGTGCAGAATTTGGTTTGGATGAACACCTCAAAATTGGGTAGTATTTTCAGGTAATGAGCTGGACCTTCCCCATCCTGCTTATCTTGTGCTCCTGCCTCCTGATCTCCCCAGGCGGAGGGACGTGAATGCAACATCTTGCCTTTGCAAGCACTTTTAGCTCCTTTGGTTTATTAGTTTTAGTTTTTCCTCTTTGGCCCTGCTACTGGAAGAAGTTACCTCTAGAGCACTTACTTCATCTGTAACAGGGATCTCATTGCTCAACAGGGGTTCTGGGGAGGATCTGCCCCCTTCCTTTGGAAACATAAAAGTTTATGTCGATTCTTACTCTTTCACAGACGCATAAGCTTGTCAGGGACTATCATTCATTAAAAATTTAATAGAGAAAACCTGACATGATTGGTCTCTTGATGCTACAATAATATAAATGTTTAATAATGACACAACGGTACATTTCTATTAACACAGCTGGTGTTTCACACTTAAGCACAACAGGATAATCATTCTCTTTATGACTACAAAGCCAATAATATAGTTATGTAATAGGTAGATGGACCATAACTACAGCGAACAGTACAGAAGAGGCAACGTCTTATGACCAAAACAGAGAAAACCCCTGGTGAAAATCCCTGTTGCTATTTGTATACTCTGAAATAATCAGCTTCCTCTGAGCTATAAGTTCTGTGCAGTCTTTACCATGCTGCATCACAGACCTCAGAGAAGTTTCAGGTGCTTCATCTAAGTGCATTATGAACAATTCTTTGATTGCTATAGTTCTGCTCTTTAATCTAGATTATTCTTTCATGCTTCTGGCAAATTTTGAAACTTTGTTATAAATGCCTAAGTATCTGAATTGTTCCACAGACTTCTGTGGCAGAGCATGGATTGCTATAATAAGGAATCTTAGTGTCTTCTAAAAATCACTGGAGAAAGCAAGATCTTGAGCTTTATCATTCTTTCTCTTTTCCCTTAATTTGCTTTTTCTCACTCATAAAGTCTTGTGGTTAGGGACAGCTTGACCTGGGAGAGGAATAATTCATTTTTATCTTTAAGAATACCATATCCAGTTTTCATGTATTCTTCCTAAGTATTTCTTAAAGTAAAGTAAACATTTGAAAGTGGTTTTCTTTCAATTAATAATTGTAAAAGTAAAGTCTCTTATTTAAGAAAATGAGGGCTTTATATCACAAAAACATTTTTTTGGGAACAATTTAGTCTCAACTAATAAAAATAGCCCCCCCCCAAAAAAAAGTTTATCTATTCAAAAGTATTCCTTTGTGTAGTTAACTTGTAATATCCTATTATCTTGGCAGTTCAGGTATGTTGGAGCATTACTACTTATATATGTGTGTGTGATGTTTTCGCTGCAGGCATCACTAACACGCTGTCTCCACAGGCAGATGGTGGGGACCACCGGACACTGCATGTTCAAGCACGGAGTCGTTCTTGATCCTGCACATGATGCTGCTGCACCCACCCAGTGTGAACAAGGAGGCAGCCCAGCTCACAGGCAGGTGAGTAGAGACACCCAGTACAAAGAGCACACAAGCTCTGGAGCTGCTTTCAAACCTGAGGCCCACAGACTAGGGCTTAAGCTAGCAATACAGCCTATGTATGGGTAAAAATAGAAGTAATTCTTCTCTCCCTTTCTTCTTAACTCAGAAAAATATTTTGATTACTTAAATAGTTGAAGAAGGAGTAATTTGAAGCAAGGAAAGTGTCTGTTGACTCTGCAGTAGCCCTGTCATAAAAAAATGGATTCTATTTTTAATGCACGCCATTTGGAAAGCAAAGCCCCTTTTAAAATGCTTCAGAACTCATGTCCTTTTTAATTGCCTGGAATTCATGGTGGCTCTGTGAAAAAGCCATAAACATATACAATCATAAAAACACATTTAGACAACCCAAACAGAATCAGTGCCATATTATTTTACTTTATTATTCCTTGTGGAGTACAGATTGGTCTTCCTACTTTGATATTTATTTATACCAAGGAACTACAGGAACATAAATGCCACTCTTGGGATAATCCTAATGCTGAGGCCGAACAGAATACGCATTGCATCTGTCTCATTTGCAGTAAAATGAAGGAGTGTTTAGGTGTAATCCTCCTAATGAAGGACAAAGTTAAGGTTGAATGTAGTGTTCAGGATGTATGTATCATTGTGAAATTTAATGCAAAATTACAGTTCTTTAAAAAGTTTTCTCAAAAATATCAAATAACTAAGATGGGGAAAAGTGTAGTTCTTTTGTTTTATTATTCTCTTCTCTTTGAAGCTACTTAAGGATTCTGTGCAAGACCTTAGTGCTCATATGAAAAATTAATGATGGGTTTTTGCTAAACAGAAAGCCTTCTTATTTTGCACATGATTAACAAAGAAAACCCAATGCAGAAGTGAGATACACAGCAGGGGATGGTTCTCTCTGAGGCCAACTCACAGCTTCACACCAGAACATTTATTGACATGGGAAAATACCCACTTTTATCTAAGGACAGTTAAATAGATAGGATATGTGCAGGGCTGTACATATTAAATAACAAGGAACAGATTCTTGACAAAGGAAAATGTCAACCAGAATAAACAAGCAGCCTCGCAGCAGGCTGACCCTGCACCGTGCCTGTGGGCTGTTTGGAGTCTGCTGCAGAGCCGAGCATAGCGCTGGTCTTTTGCTAGTTACTGTCAGGAAGTAGATTATCAGCCCAAAGGCTGCAGAGTGACTTCAGGCTGCCTGTAGCAGAAGAAAACCCAAGGCCGTGTAGGCAGAATATAATATACATAATCCAGATCTGCATGCTGCTCACATGCTCGCTTGATTTGATGTTCCTCCCATACAAAGGCCTCATTTTAGGGGGAAGAGGAGGAGGGTTGCGTACTTTTCCCACAGGTCTTTCCCCATGTATAAAATCATCAAGGGTGTGAGGTTATGTAAACTTGCCAAACTGAAAGCATCCTGGTTTAATCCTGTGGTTGTTTTATGTACTCCTCAGTTTTTAAAACTCCTCTTTGTTTTGTGCAGCAAACTCTGTGCATCTTCTGAGAATTGAGATGGGCCATGTGCTACCCACAATCTCAAGAAGAAAGCCTGTCCAAAAGGTATAAATTTCATAACTTATCATGATAATACAAATATTTTAAGCATAAAAAATGTCAAACAGATTTATTACTGATGTGTTTCTGATTTACCACCAAGTGCAGGAAGTTTTTGATAAATATCTTTGAAATACAACTGTGAAGTACACAAAGCTAAGTGGGGTTATAAATCTCTGGTCAGACTCAGGGTTTTAGCTGTCAAACAAGAATGACACAGATCACCCGCCCTTCATGAACTGGACCGGAGGGATTTCTTTTGCTTACCTGTTATACTCATGAAAGGAGAACTATCCCCAAAATACTACAGTTATGTCTAGGTTTAAAATGGCTTTCTGTTAGTATTTCGAAGCACCTAAGTATGCATGAAAAGTGTAGAATTACAATCTGAAACAATCCTTCCCCTGCCCCCAGCACATACACGCACAGTTATATGTATAAACTTAGTTTTCTTAAGGCTTAATTTCCATAGTTAGTAATGAGGAAGGTTAACTATGTTATCTCAAGTATCTCTTACTTTTGAGCTAAGTAATATGTGGTAAGAGTTAAAGTTGATAAAGATTTATTGGTCTTTTGCAGGAAGAGCCAGGGCACTTTTTTGATTAATAAGCTATCATTTTTAAATAATAGGGAATCAATTTTGTTACATATAAAAAGACATTAAGCCACCTATAGAGCACTGGATAACAGTACGTATGAACTTTCCTAAAAGGCTTTGTATTTGAGCTTGCTTGATCCATTCTCTTGAAGTTATCCAGTGGTAGCAGTACAGTGACTATTGTACAATTATAGAACCAGGTTAGCTGAATGATTGAATTGGCTAACTGCCACTTTCAGAGCAATTATTTTTTTTTCTTGTAGATTTTTAGATCAGATCCCCGCAGGAGCAGATTGAGTGGAACTTTTATATTGTTATTATGAACGTTTTGATATTGCAGTAATGATTTTTTTGATATTTGGTAATAAAACCTTGAAATGTGAGCAGTGGAAGCCTCAGAGTAGCTTTCATAATCGAGTGCCTTTTTTTTTCTTTGGTGGTGGTGATGTTTCCTTTGCCATCATCAATTTTTATTTTTTATTAATCCTTATTATCATTTTTGTGGAGATTTCTCTCACTGCTTTGCCTAACCCCAAGTACTGCCAGTTATGAAGTTTATTTAAAAAAAGAAGGAAAAAAAGGGTGCTTCAATTATCGCATCAAGTAGGACTAACTAGGCACAGAGCAGCACCAGTTTCATTCACTGTGGACTTTAGTAATGGTTACATGTCAAAAAAAGTTCAGCTCTTATCTGAGAACAAGTAGGGTGATTTGATACTGTGAGATTATATTCCAGTCTGTAAGTCAAAATTTAGACAAACAGTTGATTTCAGGAATTAATATAATTTGTTTTTATTATATAAATATATTTATTTATAATCACACAGCTATTAACAGCATAACTAGAGATGAGCTTGCTAGAGATAAGAGTTCCTTGCTGCTCAGATCCTCCCAGCTATGTATGCAGCTTGGACCCACTATTGCCTTCTCACCTCCGCTCAGTGGGAGCACTGATTTGTGTTTCTTTGCTCTCCTTATCCAAAAATATCCAGGAAGTCTATAGGCATTCATTTACTCTTGAGACTTAAAATGCCTTTTTTTTTTTTT